AAAAAAATATATTAATTACCCCCTCCCTCCCCCTAATTTTAATAAATTTTATATTTAAAAATTAACATAACAAGATGGGTATCTATAAAAAGGTCTTGATAATTAAAAAAATTATATTATTTACCCCCTCTTCCCCCCAGTTTATTAGGTTTCTATATTTCAAAATTAACATGTCAAGATGAATATCTATAAAAAGGTCTCAAAATTTTCAATTAAACAAAAATAACCCCCTATTAAAAAAATGTATATTGCAAAATTAACCTTAATTAAATGTTAATTGGTAATTAAAAAAGGTCTTAATAATTACAATTTAAAAAATATTATTAATTACCCCCTCCCGCCCCGTAGTTTTTAAAGATTTTGTATTGCAAAATTATCATGGCAAGATGGGTATCTATAAAAAAGTGTTGATAATTCCAATAAAAAAAATATTTTATTTACCCCTCCCTTCCCCCCAGTTTATTAAGTTTCTATATTTTAAAATTAACATGTCAAGATAGGTTTCTATAAAAAAGGTCTTGATAATTGCAATTAAAAAAATATATTAATTACCCCCTCCCTCCACCTAATTTTAATAAATTTTACATTTAAAAATTAACATGGCTGATGCATTGCAATTATCAAGACCTTTTTATAGATACCCATGGGTATCTATAAAAAGGTCTTGATAATTGCAATTAAAAAAAATTATGTATATAAATTAACCTGACAAAATTGGTAATTAAAAAAGGTCTTAATAATTATAATTTAAAAAATATAATTAATTACCCCCTCCCCCCTAATTTTTAAATTTTTAATATTACAAAATTAACATGGCAATATGGTTGTGTAAATATTAACAATTTAAAAAATTATAATATTTACCCCCTCCCTGCCCCCAATTAAAAAAAATCAATTGCAAAATTAAAAATTTGCTCATAGCAATATGGGTACCTTAAGAGGTCTTAATATTTACAATTTATAAAATTATAATAATCACCCCCTCCCTGCAAAATATATTGCAAAATTAACCTGACATCATTGGTAATTATTTAAAAGGTCTTAATAATTACAATTTAAAAAATATTATTAATTAGCCCCTCCTTCTCCACTAATTCTTAATTCTTTTATATTGAAAAATTAGCATAGCAATATGGATTTCTATAAAGAGGTCCTAATATTTATAATTTAAAAAATTATATAAATTTCCCTTTTCTATTGCTTGCAATATTAACATGGCAAAATCTGTACAATGTTCTTAATGATAATAATTTTAAACTACTCCCTTCTTAACCCCTAATTAATTCATTTTTTTAATAAAAAACATTCAAAATAAACCTGGAGCAGGTATAGGAAACAAAAAAGCCAAATGTACGTTTGGACATATCGTCACGTTCAAATTTTTCTATAAAATAATGTTTAGTAGAAAAAATAAAGGTATATAAATATTTATTAAAGGGTCCAATTACTCCAGTGCATTGCATTAAATAACCCGATAAGCGAATATTTTAATTTATTATAAATAAGGGGGAAGGAGGGGGTAATTAATACAATTTTTTAAATTGTAATTATTAAGACCTTTTTATCAACTCATCAATGCCATGTTAATTTTGCAATTTTAAAATGTAATAAATTAGGGGGCAGAAGGGGGGTAGTTAATTTATTTTTTAAAATTGTAATTATTAAGAACTTTTTATAGATACCCATCATGCCATATTAACTTTGCAATTTAATAATGTAATAAATTAGGGGGCAGAAGGGGTTAATTAATATAATTTTTTAAATTGTAATTATTAGAACCTTTTTATAGATACCCATCATGCCATGTTAATTTTGCAATTTAATAATGTAATAAATTAGGGGGCAGAAGGGGGGTAATTAATATAATTTTTTAAATTGTTATTTTTAAGACCTTTTTATAGATACCCATCATGCCGTGTTAACATTGGAATATACAAATGTAATAAATTAGGGGGCAGAAGGGGGGGAGTTATTATACATTTTTTAATTGTAATTTTTAATACCATTTCATAGATACCCATCTTGAAACGTTAATTCTTCAGAATAAAAGTTTAATAAATAAGGGGGGAAGGAGGGGGTAATTAATATAATTTTTTAAATTGTAATTATTAAGACCTTTTTATAGATACCCATCATGCTATGTTAACTTTGCAATATAAAAATGTAATAAATTAGGGGACAGAAGGGGGGTTATTAATATATTTTTTTAAATTGTAATTACAACACCATTTCATAGATACCCATCATGCCACGTTAATTCTTTAGAAAAAAAGTTTAATAAATTATCGGGGAAGAAGGGGGTAATTAATATAATTTTTTAAATTGTAATTATTAAGACCTTTTTATAGATACCCATCTTGCTAGGTTTATTTGCAATTATTTTGTTTTTAAATTGTTATTATTAAATCATTTTAATGATACCCATCTACTTATGTTATTTTTGTAATGATTATTACCACAATATTCTTATAGTTTAATCATAGAGAAATGTAATGTATAATCTAACATTATTAATGTTATTATAAATACCACTTTTTTATAAAATTTGCTAAATAAATATATATCATATATCAATAAAATAATTTTAAAAATTAATAATAATATTAAGGTATTTTTATAAAATTATAAAATTAATTTAATATAATTTTACAATTTATTAATTTAATAGGACTAAAAATTTATATTTATTTAATAAATATAAATTTTTAGCCCTATTAAATAACCAGTATTAATAAATTACCAGTATATAATTAATTATATCATCTGATAATTTCACTCTGATTTAATCACTGGGTTCCGAAAAGTATTAAATCTTAAATGAGCAATAATATAAATACTCTGAAATGATTAAATCTCAAAAATAGCTAAACTATGGTTATCATTTAGAATATAAATCTTTTAGGTATTTAATCTTTAAAAGAGTAGAAGTGTTTTGATACTTTTGGGATTGAATCCTTAATGTATCGAATCACTACGAGAGCGGTATAATTTAACTCATCTGGAGAGTAAGGCTTCGCAGATCGAAATAGGTTTTGATCGCGAGTGAGTTGAGAGCTATTCAAAATCAGTGATTTAATCCTAGTTCCTGGAATAAAGAAAAAAAGCAGTGATTCAAAGCCAAAAGCGGCAGATCTTAAATGTCTCGCAGCGTCTCAGCGCTATGAGATATTAATATCACTCTACTAATTAAAGGAATGAGAATAAAGATTTGGCAACGCCGATTTAACAAGAGAGAGTTAGGTATAGCGTGAACTGCAGGCACAACAAAGATAGTTATATTGTCATGCCCACGCGGAAGTCAAATCGTACAGTTTGTTAAATATTTGTAGCGACAACAGCGCCAGCGGTATATACCCGAACTAAAGGAAAGTTTTGTAGGTATATATGGCACGCACTGACTTCCAACCTAAAATTTGAAATAACGCTTTTTTCGACCTCTATATGACATTGCGCTAAAAAAAAGCACTTTTCGTAGTGACTTCCGAAATCGGAAGTCACATCGTTATATATGAAGTCACAACGTCTAGTGAGTATCTATTTTGGAAGTCACTTGGTACTATTTATCAATATATATATATATATATATATATATATATATACATATAATAATTATATAATGATATTTCTTCATCCATTTTTAATTTTTATATTTTTATTTCAGTGAATTAGATAGACGACAATTTTTTCAGGGGCAATTGAACTCATAAGTGCAAAAAAGGCGAAAACTTGACTGCACGTGGTTAAAAACATTATAAAAAATAATTCAATAAAATGTATGTATGCGTGTAAGTGTTTATTTTATTGTTTTAGTAAAAATAATAATAAACAATAATTATATTAAGTTAAATATACTATAAACTTGTTACAATGTGGTGTTGATGGGATAAAATTAATTTTGTATAAAACATCAGCCTGTGGTATTTTTTTCCAATTAATGACGCCATAAGAAAAAATACTTAAAATTAACACTATTATTTCTAACCAAATTTTAACAATTAATACATACAATGTGGCAAATTTACCATACCGAGTTATTTTTGGTAAAAACTAAATGTAAAACTTAAAATATTTTGAGTTTCGAGATTAAGCATTTAAGTTTAAAAATACATTGCTCCATTCTTTGATGTAATTAAATAGTCTTAAAACAATATAATAATTCAAACACAAACTAATTTGTTTTTTATACTATACATTATTAAATAACGTGTTATGCGCCATTTTCAAAAGTTAATTTAATATTATTTTTTGTGCTTTTCTTCAAAGATGAAATTTTATGCACATCTTATCTACTACTTTAGCTTCAGTAAAATAAATATATTTACGTGTAGGTTTAAAAGAAATATATTTTTTTAAATACATTTTATTGGCTTATTTGTATGTACTAATTTTTTCGGCAATTTACAAATGAAATTGTTTGAAAATATTTTTGAACAAAGGTAATGCCTAAATTTCTCTGTATTCTAGTAATTCCTCTTGTTCTTTAAAATATTAAATTTTATTTAATATCTTTTAGAAAATGTTCACTGAAAATATTGTTTTATAAACGTTTAAATATTATCATTATCATTTTGCTAATTGCATCTGATAACATTTTTCAAATTTTGTAATAAAAAATTAGTAAAATCATAAAAATTAACTTGTGTAGTTTAAAATCATAGGTTGTTTTAAGGCTTTGTAATTTATTTTAAATATGACTGAATAGGTTAATTATTATTTTATAATATAAAATTTATATAGCAAATAATTTGACCAGCTTCTTGTAAACAGAAAACCCGATTTTTGAGTGATTTAGGAAAATATATACCAAACATTTTTAAAACATTTCACCTGGCCTTGTCAATGGAAACTGGCCAGGCCAGTGGGATACCAGCAGGTGGACAATTGTTCGTGGATTTTAATAAAAATCACAAAAACAAAATACATTTAAATATTAAACAAATTTATAAATAATCTATAAATTTGTTTAATTTGAATGTTTAATTATTAAACATATACTTTACACTGAAAAGTTCACTCCTGGATAGTGCATCATGTCCTTTCTCCATGGAAAGGTGCAAATGAAAGCATTTGCCAATAAGGATGAAACCTGCAACTGGCTTAAACTAAGAGACTTGCAGTGGCCTCTTTTCAGCAAGGGTAAGTTTCCTGGTAGTATGTCAGGCAACCTTAATGCTAACTTAATAATATTGGGCAAGCAATTGGTAAAAAAATCATGTGCTTCTGATTCTGGAATCTAATACATTTTTTTAAATTATTTTCATTTAGTTTATTATATTTTGTTTAATTACTAACCTCGTCAAAATAGTTATGTAATGCACTAAACCTAGGTAAATTTTTGTTGTACTTGCTTATAGCTGCCTCAAATTCTCTGCTTGAGTTGATAGGTTTAGAGAATATATTTAATATTAACTTCCATCTAGACTTTAAAGTATTTATGCCATTCTACAATATTATTTTATTATTTTATGTCTCCAATTTTAACTTACAAGGTAATAAAAACGTGCTAATATGAAAAGAAATGACTTTTGATTTGTATAAATACGTTTTAAAAATTAAAAGTTAATAATAACAGTAAAACAAAATTATGATGATTTAAAGCATGGAGCCTACATAAGGAGTCCAAACTTCATGTATACAATAATCTTCCTAAGATAAGAGGGCGCTGGTGTTTCGTTTATTAATAAACAATTGTTTGATTTGTACCGAAACGCTACCAAAACAGCAGACGTCAATACGCATCGACAATCAGCGCCGTTGGTGGTAATTTTCCCTATTAAGTTCGGGCTCCTTATGTAGGCTCCATAGACAATATCGTCGTCGGGCGTGCAATATCTCCAATGTGAGAATATACTCCAAATTTTGTTTATGACATTAACATATTTTTCTGAGCCTTGCGCACATTTTTCTAATATCTACAATGTAAAATTATCCATTTTACAGTCGTTAAACGTTTTTCGTCTCTCCTGTAAAATTTTGGATATTGCATGCCCGGCAACGATATATTGTCTTAGACATTTTCTATGAGGAAATACATCCATGTCAATTTAGGCTCTATTTAAATGCGTTGTTTATTTTGTTTCCTTAGCAATACACAGTTGTGTTCACAATACACAGCTAGCGTTCCCGAGTTTTTTTTAACTCTTTAAACCTTGTAAACAATGTCCCATGGGCCGTGACCAGTTGTGTAATTTTAAATTTATCTTACAATTGAGGGTCATAGGCCGCGAGTATGTTGGAGTTGTGATAAACGATAAGAGCGTCGTCGCTATCGTTTATCACAGCTCCAACACACTCGCGGCCCTGTTAAACGAAAATGCCTTATCTACATATAATTAGTGATAATTAAGGACAAAAGAATATTTTTATTTTTAAAAACAATTAAACCGATATTTTTTCCTTTATTAATTAATATTATAGATAAGGCATTTTTGCTTAACAGGGCAGCACTTTTTATTCTAAAGACCATAACTAAGCAACTTTGATAAACGCCATTTTAGACACGAATTTAATTTAGGCACGAGCGAGCGAGCGCCATCTATTTAATGTCAAATGTCAAATTTGTATGTGTTATAAACATAAATAATAAATCAAAATGTATTCCTTGAAAATGGATTAAACAACAGTTTTTCACAGTGAAAGTGAAGAAAATGTTTTTTTACCACTTCACGGTGAAGTCCGGGCCCGACTTTAAGTTAGGTATATCTAGTTTACTGCCGGCGAAATTAAAAGGTCAGTACAATGTTTATATACTAAACTCTTTAAATATTGGCGTTGAGAAACTATTTAATGCTTTTGTATTGAGATAATAAAATAATTTTCACATTTAGTATTATTTTAGAAGCAGGGCACTTTATTTTAACGATTGTATGACATTTGACAACTGTCAACTAACTTAAAGCTAACTTCAGCCCATGACTAAAAACCTGTTGCTAACTTCAGCCCGTGACTAAAACGCTGTTAAGCCACAACTTGGCAATGTGTATTTAAAAGGTCACTTATTATCATGGAAACATGTACGATTATGGTCGTTTTAAAGGTGGGAGTAGAAAAAATTCTTATTCTACCATCTTGCTGGTTGCGGTTGTTATGGAAACAAAACAAACAAGGTAGATTTTTATTTTTGAAATATGTTTCGAAAATTATTTTTATAGATAAATAATCTCAAAACATTAAAATATTAAACATTAAATATTCAGAATTTGTTTTTAATTTTTTTGTATACTTAAAATAACCCACCTATAGTGTGGAATTACGCAATAATTATTATACCCACTATAGGTACCATTAGTGCGCCATTTTTGGGACACCCTGTGTAAATAAAAAACGTTATTCAATTTAAAACAAAAAACATACAAAAACATATTTTAAAGTTTTAATACTAAGGGGCCATTCCACGCTTAACGGATAGGACAGTTGCCGTGTTTTTATTTACAAAATAATATTGTTCTATTATATTACCAATGTCAAATTTATAAATAGTTCTGAACAAGGTTTTTATTTAGCAAAATTAGGTATCGTGATTGACTGTTTAATTCCTTAAAAATTAATAATTTAAAGCGTAACGGACGGGACTATTACAAAGTCCCGTCCGTTACGCTTTAAATTATTAGTTTTTAAGGAATTAAACAGTCAACCACGATAATTAATTTTTCCAAATAAAAAGCTTGTTAAACAGCTTTAGTTTAGAACTATTTATAAAAATTTGACATTGGTAATATAATAGAACAATATTATTTTGTAAATAAAAACACGGCAACTGTCCTATCCGTTACGCGTGGAATGGCTCTAAGACTAAACACTGAAAAAGAAGGTGTTTTAGAATAAAACATATTCTCTTAAACTAATTTTAAAATTATCTTCTTCAGATCATTTTAGCACATTATTTAGAGAAATCTGTTTTTATACTCACTTCTACAACAGGAAAGACATTGCTAAAAGAATAAGGCATACGAACATAATCTTCGTCCCAATGTAATGTTTGTGTTGGTACATGTGGTTTAGGTGGGGTACTTAGATTAACAGGTAATTGATACAAAACTGAATGATATTTTGATGGTATTACAGGGCTTACACTAAAACTCCAGATGCCTTTTCCTTTGCATATATCATTTAAACTGCTTCCTAACCATGTCTTCTGATCTTTGCATTGTTCCATTGTGTCCAATGATTTACCGTACACTATTTACTTAATGGTTTTACATTATTCAGTAGTTTAAAACAATTTGTAAATAAAATTATATTATTGTGTTGTTTACATTTTTAGATGGTTATAACTTATAAGAGATAAGCAATATTTGTTTGGTTATGTTTACATATAGCTGTCAATATTTATTACAGATATCTATATTACCGATAAGGATTTAAACCAGTGTTGCCACCCCTATTACTTTAGTAATATATCTGTTCTTTGTCTGTTAATTTAGAGAAAATATACAGTGTTGCCAGAGGTGGTACATTTGTACCTTTTTGGTAAGTTTAGTGCTTTGGTGGTACAGAGGTACTACAAGGACTATTTTGGTACATTTTTATGAAATTTTTGAATTTTGATATATTTTCAATGTTTTGCCTATTTTAAATAACAAAGTGACTACCCTATTGAAAATGCCATATAGAACCATATAAAAAACACGTATCTGGATTCTATATGGTTTCTATCTGGTTCAATATAGGTATTTGAAACAGGCATTTCACCCCGGACAACAACCGGGATTTCCTGGTGAAGTCATGATGATATCACAACGTGATTTTTTTTATCATGCTGTGATATCCTGAGTGCATACACATGCTTCATCACAGTGATATCATGTAGAACTCAAGGTGTGATATTTGCAAAATTTGCGCATGCGTACTGCGAATTTAAAACCTAGTTTGTTATTCACATTACACAGTTATAATTTATAAAACGTTGTTTGAATATTACGAATGTTGTCCGGGTTCAATTAAAATAGATAATCCAATGTTTAACAAAACGTGAACGTTTACATCATGTCGTGATTTTCACGACATAATTTTTTATGCCATCGGTGTTTGGTCATAAAAAATCACGACATGATTTTTTATGCCATCGGTACACCGCGGTGTTTGGATATTCATTTTTGCGACACATTCGTACATTGAAAGAAAAAGTATGTTAACAATTGAATCAACAGTTTAACATTCAATATTTTCTTGGATTTAAATTAACTATATATAGTTCATTTAAATCCAAGAAAAAATTGAATATATTTAACCGCAAAAACTGTTGATTCAACATAATTTTTCTCTTAGTGTACTAACGTAGCGCAAAAATGATTATCCAAACACCGATGGCATAAATAATCACGACATGATTTTTTGTGCCATCGGTCAATCGCAAACAGCGATGGCATAAAAAATCACGACATGATTTTCATTTCTCACGCAGTGTCATGAATATGAATAAAATTTGTGAATATCACGACGTGACGTTCGTATGATTTTCATTTATCACGCGGTGACTTCCGTATGATATCAGTATGAATAAAATTTGTGAAAATCACGACATGATGTTCGTATGTTGTCCGGGACTATAGAACCAGATAGAAGATTACATTATAGAACCAGATAAAAACACTTTAAAACACTATAGAACCAGATAGGTTTCCCTATATGGTTGAATATGAAAATTTTTAAAATGGAAATCCATATTCAACCATATAGAATCCGTAATGTTAACCAGGACTTTCCATATAGGACCTATAAAACCATATAGAACCAGATACGTTTCCTTATCGGATTCAATATGGGTTCTATATGGCATTTTCAATAGGGTAGAAGTACACCGGGAGTACGGGCATTAAACGTACACCGGGTGGAAAAAAATCCTTATTTAGCAAATTTTTATATTTGTCAATGGGGCGGGGGGGCAATGGGGTGGGGTCGGTTGGGTTGGGTTGTTGAGTTTGGGTTGGTTTGAGTAATTCATACTGACATTTCATTAATTTTGTTGTTAATTGTATTTCAATTACTTAATTAAATTTTAATCAATGTTTATAACTTGAAAGTTAGCTAAATAATTACATAATTATTATCAAGAGTTAACAAGCTGTTTTCCAACTGTTATACAACTGGGCCTTAGTACCAATTTAATCTCAACTTATAAATCTAAAAATTTACCATCAGATGGTATGGAAACACGCATGCGCACAAACCTGATGTACGTTTAATGCCATGGCAGTACTCCCGGTGTACAGACAGGAAGCGAAATACTAGGAAATAACCGCGAAGTAAGAGATACAAAGCAGCAACTTTATTTAAACGCCGTGACTAGAAGTACTTCTAGTCACGGCGTTTAAATAAAGTTGCTGCTTTGTATCTTTTAAGGGTAATTAAGAGTAATTACTTCGCGGTTATTTCCTAGTATTTCGCTTCCCGTCTTATAATAGCGTTATTAAAATCGCCTATCTTTATTTGTTTTATTTTCATATTCGTCTGTTGGCAACATCGCGCTATATTTAATTTTGTGGAAAAAACGATAGTATCAGAGATATATCGATATTAGTATTAGAGATCTCTAATACTATCAGAGGTATACCTAATAAAAGGCTACACAGCATTTAAGTAAATGTGAAAATTATTATTCCCCAGACTGCAATGAATTAAGGTTCGAAAATATTCCAGGAATATATATATCTAGGAATAATCCGCTTAATTCTAGGAATATTAATTGGGAATATTTCATAGAATGATCCTCTAAAACTTCCAAGCACCATCCAAGATTATTCCCAGTGAATGTTCTTTATATTCAAAAAACAATAAATAATTTTCTCTTTATACAAATTGTTTATATCCCTGGAATAATCCTCTATATAGAGGTGTTTGGAAGTTTTATTAAAACTTCCAGACACCATCTAAGAACATTCCCAGTGAATATTTAGTTGCAATACCTCTCACCTTTTCTTACGCACGCTTGATAACTATATATTGTAGCAACCCTATTAAAAATGCCATATAGAAACACAAAATAAAAATCTATCTGGTTCAATATAGGAATTTGAAACAGGCATTGCACTATTGAACCAGATAGAATTCCATACCTGGAAAACCATATGGTTATAGAAAAGTGATTTCTATATGGATTGCCATATAGGTTCATAATGCTCTATCTGCACAGCAAACGGAAAATTATAGAAGTGCATAGGATGACTCCGCGTTTGAATATCAAATCTTAAAGTTTTATCATAACTGTATTGAATCGTGCTTTGTTTTTATATTTTTCGGCTCTATACCTATGCACGACTATATTTAAAGTCAAACTCAATGGGGTCTTACAAGATACATTATTTTGATTTTCTATATTCAACAGAGGAGTAGAAACTCGACCCTGTCGAATGGTGCAGTCATTTATGTCTCTAGAAATTATTAAAAAAGGGTTCAGTCCAATGATGCAGCAACTTCGGATTCCTATTCTCCTCAGAGACATAGAAACTCAAGCTTTTCGAATTTTACTGGCAATGATTTTCGTTAATGTCCCCGAGAATTATACAAAAACAGCGCAATGCAATATCGCAACGGTTTCGACTTCTCTTTACTCTACCATAGAAACTGGAGTCTCTCTAATACTGTTCTAGTCAATATTTCTGAGAGTATAAAAAGAGGGTGTAATATCCCTGCTGAAAAAGACGGGTAATATCGGATGATTGCGGATAAAAATCCAAGCTAGTTTTATGTCCATTTATATCTGTTTTTATCCGACATATCTGATTTTACCCGGCATGTCGGTTTTTATCTGCAATTGCGGGTATAAATATTATCCGCGAACGTCGGGTTTTATCTATTTAGATCTATGTCTGCTTTTATCTGTTTTCATCCGGAAATACCTGTATTTGAGTTTATATCTGCATTCACCCGGTTTTATCTGATTTTATCCGCAAACATCTACTTTAATCCGCAAACGTCTGCTTTATCCGATTTCACCTGAAAACATCTGCTTTTATACGTGAAGATCTACTTTCATACGCGAACATCTATTTTAATCCACAAACATCTGTTTTAATCCGTAAACATCTCATTTAGTCCGCAAAAGTCTGATTCATAAGATTTCACCTGCAAACATCTGCTTTTATCCGCAAACATCTGCTTTTATCCGCAAACGTCTGGTTTTATCCGCAAACATCTGCTTTTATCCGCAAACATATGTTTTAATCTCCAAACATCTGCTTTTATCCGCAAACATCTATTTTAATCTGCAAATATCTGCTCTTTTCCGCAAACATCTGATTTTATCTGCAAACATCTGATGTTATCCCCAAACATCTGCATTTATCCGTAAACATCTGGTTTTATCCGCGAACATCTGATTTTATCCGCAAACATTTGATTTTATCCGCAAACATCTAATTTTATCCGAAAACATCTGCTTTTATCCGCAAACATCTGCTTTTATACGCAAACATATGATTTTATACGCAAACATCTGATTTTATACGCAAACATTTGATTTTATCCGCAAACATCTGCTTTTATCCGCGAACCTGATTTTATTCGCAAACTTCTGCTTTTATCCGCAAACATCTGTTTTAATCTCCAAACATCTGCTTTTATCCGCAAACATCTGATTTTATACGCAAACATCTGATTTTATCCGCAAACATCTGCTTTTATCCGCAAACATCTGATTTTATCCACAAACATCTGTTTTAATCCGCAAACATCTGATTTTATACGCAAACATCTATTTTAATCTGAAAATGTCTGCTTTTATCCGCAAACATCTGATTTTATCCGCAAACATCTAATGTTATGCGCAAAGATCTGATTTTATCCGCAAACATCTGCTTTTATCCGCGAACATCTGTTTTATCCGCGAACATCTCATTTTATCCGCGAACATCTGCAATAATCCGCGAACATCTGCTTTTATCCGCAAACATCTTTTTATCCGCGAACATCTGCTTTTATCCGCAAACATCTGCTTTCATCCCCAAACATTTGATTTTATCCGCAAACATCTCATTTTATCCGCGAACATCTGCTTTCGTACAGTTTCACCCGTAAACATGCTTTTATCTGCGAACGCCTTATTTCATCCGGTTAGTGCACCCCCGCAAACATCTGCCTTTATCCGTAAACGTCTGATTTTATCTGCAAACATCTGCTTTTATCCGCAAACATCTGATTTTATCCACAAACAACTGATTTTATTCGCAAACATCTGATTTTATCTGCAAACATCTGCTTTTATCCGCAAACATCTATTTTAATCTGCAAACATCTGCTTTTATCCGCAAACATCTGATTTTATCCGCAAACATATGCTTTTATCGGCAAACATCTGCTTTTATCCGCAA